CCACTGCTGAGTGGAAGCAGGCATGAACTGTCAAAAGCAATTCTAGATGAAAGGTCAAAGCAAAGAAGGGAATAATATCTGTTTCACAAAAATACATTTGCTCTCTCTAGTAATGAAAGCAAATGACTCTGTGCAGTGGTTCAATAACCCACTTCTATAATAGCTCCACATGAGCTTCCCTGGCATGGCAAGGAGCAGCCCTCATTACAAAGTATTTCCAATCACATGCCTGAGGCACAGCCCAAAGACGTCACTTAGGGCAAAGCATCCACTGAAACAGGTGCTGGGAGAAAAATGTTTCTGCTTTTTATGGAAGTGGAGAAAAAAGGCTTTTAGGCTGGAGTGGCCTGAAGCAGGATGCCAACTAACCCGCTCTTGTTTTCTGACCTCCAACAGCAAACACGAAACCCTGACCCAGAGTCAAGAAAAAACTCGTACATGCCCTTTCCAGAGAGCATTCCTCAATTATACACACTCCCAGACTGTTTCTAATTTTTAGAGGCTGACAACACAATTGCTAAGATGGTCATAAATAGCTTTGTCTAAAAAAATTGGATTCTCATTCTTGCAACTCTCCATTCACAGGGCAAATTTTTAAAGATTTATACTTTTACTATCAAAATAATTCACTAAACTGTCCAGAGGCCTTGGGGGCAAAACAGCTGTCAGATTCCATATCAGGTGGGCAGAAACAGCCTGTCCAAAAATTACTTGCAACTGTCACAAATAAAGTGCAAGCTAAAGACCACACTTCTATCAGACAGATGACTCAGTCCATCTGTTAGTATACTTAAGAACAAGGAAAGTAACCTGAATTTTTGTATCCACCTGAAAAAAAAAATACCCTGCCCACACCACCAATTTTTCTCTTGAGATACAAGCAATTTTAGGAACTGTATTGCTTGCAGTTATGCATATCCAGTCTAATTTAACTGCCTGCTTGCACTTCCAACATTTTGTCAAATATTTCTCAACTAAATTAAGCCTCCTATTTCAAATACACCATTCGGGCAAGTATTAAAACTAAAGGCACAATTCCAAAGAGTTACCTTACGTATCCAAGAATAACTTAATGTCACCATCAAATTGATGGCCTTGCTGCTGCGCTGTTTCACCACCTTAAATAAGTGCAGTTATTGCAGCAGACTGAAGTGTACTATTGTCTCTAATAATACTTTTGGTGTACCCACTTTCCTGGAAACCCCAGGAAATGTGTGTGGGTTCCTCCAAGCATTCCTAGTCCTAATGGAGGTACATGTTTTGTTACTTGTGCTGTGGGCTTGCACTCAGTAAACACTGAGTATGGGATTAGTTTTCTTAGCACAACACTTAAAACACAATGAAGGCTTACCAACCCAGGCACAAAAAATGCTGACTTTTACATAATAACATGAAGTGCATTCTGTAGCAATATATTTGAGCAGAAAAGCTGCTGATTGTAAGTAAATGGAAATTTCAGTGTGGCTTAGAGACCACAAATTTAGCCACCTTTTTAGCTGGAAAACACAAGCAAGGATACAACATGACTTTTCAGAAAAGGCAAAATCTATAGTGACTTAGCTGTTTGCCTATTTCATTCATATGGAATGAAATTCACATATATAGTATATAGATGGGCATAGTAGCCCATCACAAATACAAAGTATTATACTGAGCTCTGGAAATACTCAAATTTAAAATTTCTAAAAAATGCTGTTTCTTTCCCAGTTCTTGGGAACTTGGGTAATGAAACCCGACTAAGCAGCCTGCTTTCTGACCAGCACACTAATGAAAAACAATTCTTTCCCACACAAAGAAATGGATGTAGTAATCCCAAGAGAAGGCTGTACAGTTTGATTTTTTAAAAAGTCAGTATCTTGTAAAGCTCATTTGTTTTTATTGGAGTTAACACTCAAAATGAGCCTGATATGCAAAAAAAAAAAGAAAAAAAGAAGGTAATTCAGTTAACCTTCAGTGAAGAATCCAGCTCTAGCAGCAGAGTTGTGTTTACCAGCTTCTGTAACAGACTTCAACATATGCTACAATAAAAGTCTGCTCACACACGTTCTTCTTGTACAAACAGGATGGCAAATCATGCTTTTACTAGAACAGGGGCACCAAACTCTGCTGTTACCTGCACCTCCACCACCTTCCAGTCAGCTGGTGAATGGAAACTCCCCTGAAAATGCCCATTCCTGGATACCTATTATATTGTAAGTGCTCTCAGGAAAGTGGATTAGGGGCAGCACTTCTGTCAGCCGAGCAGGGCACAAAGAGAGCAACAGGTGTCCGTGGGAATCAGCTGTTTACCTAGGGCAGGAGACACAGATACACACAGCCCTATTCAAGCACCAAGTAACCTCATACTCAGGCTAGACCACTTCACTGGGATATTCAATATTCAGGGTTTCTCTGCAACCTAAAACCCTGAACAGATGTTATTCAAATAGCATATCATTTCAATTTGAATACAAAGCAGACTTCTGCAAGAATTAATTCTTGTGGAGTGTCGGTGTTTGTGTCTTACAGAGCTGCTGGTTATTTGAACATTCAAAGATGCTCTTCACAACGATGTTTAGTATTATCTGACAAAAGGAAAATTAGTTTCCTCTTTGGTAACTGACCAGCTAAACACCCAGACAAGACACAAGATCCTAACACAAAATCATCAGAATTAGTTCAGGCTCATGATGGCTGAAGAATGCACACTTACCTGCCCAAGAGCAATGACAGAATGCAGTTTACTCATCCCACGAGACCATCAATATTGTGCCAAAAGTATATTTTTGGTATGAACTGCTAAGATTTAACAGCATCTGCAAACACAGGAGCTGTATATGAAATGCTGGCTGCTCGTCCCATCCACCCTGTCACTCCTCACCCATCAGACCTCGCCTTGACCAGCAAATGCACATTAAAAGTCATTGCCTGAACAATGTACAGCATGAAGATATTGTTTGAACATGTTTCAGAAATATACCATCAACCATAGTCTAAACAAGCCCAAAGAGAGAGCAGTGCAGTGAAAGCTTGCCATTGCACTGGAGTCGGACCAATTAAACAAAACTGAGGGAGTTTAATAGTGCCTCTATAGAGAGAAAATACTTCTTTAACCACATCATTTTTTTAGCCTGTGTAGTTTAATTGGTACAGCTTGTTTCTTTTTTTCCAGAGGGCTGGAACCAAGCGTTCTGGAAGTCAGTTTCCTTTGAAACACCCCACGACCACTCATCAGAGCAGCCCTCCAAATCACAACTGCACCTCCCTCTGCTCTCCAGGCAGGGCAGAAAGCTCCAAGGCCAGTAATATATTCGTTTACCTACATTTACTCACTGCTGCAAGTCAGCTATTCAAACACCTAAATAAGCAACCTAAGGGTAGGTTCAGCCTAGACACTTTCCTGTTGTGCTGGTTGAGAGGAATACTTGTGCTCCCTCCAAGCTGGCACAAGTCCTAGCACACATACAGCTACACAGCTACACTAGCTCTCCTCACTCAGCATCACCCTCACAATTAAAGAACCTTTTTGCCAGCACGAATCCCAAACTTCCATGGGGCTTCCCGAGGTATTTGTGCCAAGCCTTGCTCGGTTAGCAGCGTTCATTGCGCTGAAGGCTGTCAAGATAATTAAAAAGAACACCTCTGCTTAAAGGACCTGCATACAAACTTGTAGGTTTTTCCAAGTTCGTTCGCAGGATATCTGACTTCTACATGAGCAACACGAATAACTGAAAATAAATTATCACAAGACAAAACAAAGCTTAAAATAACGCGGGACATAAATACCTACAGTTAACAAAGAAAGCTAGAGGGAAATACAGGAACACAGTTCTAAACAAAACAGCGGGGAGATTGTTCCCATGCTTCCCGCTGCAACGCTACCCTTTCCACTGAAGGTGCACTGCAAGAGGGAATCCTCGCAGCACAAAAAAATTTATTAGGATTTTCCTGTAATTGACAAGGAATTCCAATGGCTCGTCAGTTTTACGCAGCAGAGGAATTTGCCCACTTTGATCACGCAAACCTTGCCGGACCCCTACTCCAAAGGACCTCACAGTCGTGTCTTTTAAGACAAAGAACGCTCATATCCAACTGCAAGGCAGACAATAACTTCCAGGCGAAAGGAAAAAAAAAAAAAAAAAAAAGAAAAGGGAAGGCATGAGTAACTCGTTTCCCCAGCTGTCTGGGAGAGGGGCAGGCCTACAGGGAGCACGGCGGCGTCCCCGGGCAGCCGGACCGGCGCTGGCCCGGCCACCGAGCCGCATTTCTCACCGGGTCCTGCACCAATCCACAGAGGAGATTACGGAAACAGAACAGGCGCTAAAAGCGAGCTGGGGGGAGGATGGCGGGAGGGAAGGGGGGAGGCAGAAAATCGCCTTCGAATGAATGAAGCCGGCGGGGAGCGGAGTTCCCGGCGGGAAGGCGGCAGGCGGGCACCCACCTCCCCGCCTGCCGCCCCCAGCCGCGGCCACCTCTGTGTTTACATCGCGCACCTCCGAACGCGGCACTTCCCCGGCTGCCGAGAGGGGGATCCCCCTCCCCGCTTCCCCCCGGCGCCTCTTTATTGATTACCGAGGGAAAAGCCCAGCTGCTGCTGCAATGCAACACGCGCCGGCTAAGGCGGAGGGAAAGGGGGAGAAGAAAAAAAAAAAAAACCACCACCGGCAGAGAAAGAAAGGAGCCGGGCGCCCGGGGCTCACGCCGTGCCCGGCCCGGGGGAGGCGCCGCCGCGGGGCCGCCCCCAACCCCGGACCCGGGCCCCGCCGCCGCCCCCCGACCGCAACTTCGCCGCCGCCGCGGGGGGACGGGGACGGCGGGCCGCCCTTCCCCCGCCGCCACTAACAATGGGCCCTTCCCCCACCGCGGGGCTCCCCTCGGCCCGGCCCCCTCCCCCGCCGCCGGCCGATCCCCCCGGCTCCCAGTGCCCTTCCCGTTCCCGGCCGTGCGCCGTCCGAGCCGGGGGGCACGGAGCATCGCCCCCCACCCCGCGCCCGCCGCCCGCTCCGGAGCCGGCCGCTCACCTCATGGTGCTGCCCGCGGTCGGGGAGCCGCTCCCGCTGCCTCGCTCCCTGCTGCGCCGCCTCCCCCGCCCCGCTCCGCCACTCGCCGCGTCCCCGCAGAGCGAGACCCCCGGAGAGCGAGACCCCCGCCCGGCAGCGCCGCCCGCCCGCCCGCCCGCTCCGCCGCTCCCTCCGCCGCCGGGCCGGGCCAGACCACCGCGGGGAGCCGGGGGTGGGAGGGGACGGGAGAGGTGGGGGAAAGGGGCGGGGAGGAGCGAACCACCGCGCGGGAAGGGCGGGGGGAAAGGAGGAGGAGGAGAACGCGAACGGGCGGGCGGGGGCGGCCGGAGACACCGGCGGGGCCGCGGGAGCGGCGGCGGCCGGGGGTGCGGGAGCGGCGGCGGGCGGGAGGAGAGAGAGAGAGAGGGAGGGAGGAAGGGGCGGGCGGCGGAGGAGGCCGCGCCCACCGCCGCGCTGTGCCCGGGCGGCTCGCTGGGGCTCGGCGGCCCCGGCGCGGGGTGGCGGGGGTGGAGGGACGGGCCGGCCCGGCCCGGCCCGGCCCGGCCCGGCCGCAGGTGAGGCGGCGGCAGGAGCGGCGGCGGCAGGAGCGGCGGCTCCTCGGGAGAACCGACCGCCCGCCCGCGGCAGTGTCTTCCCCGGCGGCGTCGGGAGTGTGCCCGGAGCGGAGGGGCGGGATGGGCTCCCGGAGAGCCGCGTCCCGGCGTGTGAACAGCTCCGCCCGCCCGCTGAGCCTGCCCCGCTCGGCCCCGCGCTGCCCGCTCCGGGCTGGGGCCGGCCCGCAGTCCCTGCCCGGTGCGGGAGCGAACACGGAGCCCCCGAGCCCCCCGTCCCGAGTTCGGCAGGCACCGCGGGCAGCGGCCCCTCGGTGCCCCGGGCAGCCGGTGGCCCAAGCCTTTCTCAGGAATTCTGCAGGAATGTTCTTTCTGCACGTTTCGGTAGCCCCGAAAAGCGCCTGCCCTAAATGCGGGCTTACGTTCTGCTGTCGGTACCGGCAGCGGACCCAGCGCACTGTGCAAGTAACTTTAACCCAGCTCCTTGCTGTCAGCTAGCGAGTGAATGCCCGTTCTCTTTCGTCTCGGTTAATAGAAGTGATGAGCAAAGCGTCTTTGCAATTCCCAATGCCGTTAAGCCATCTTGGTGCTTTCACACCTCCAATTTAATTTTTCCCGAATGAATACCAGGGCTTTCTACGGTCTAGCAGTAAAAATATACACAAGAAACAAACATCTTCTTTATAAATGTCTAGACTTCTAGTTATAAAAAATGAAGAATTTAAAAAATATATGTGTATTTCTGATGTAGGTTCCACACATGTAAGGGGATTTTACCATGAATCTCAGCTATTTGGCACCACCTCTTCCTTGATCAGTGAGGCAGAATTGCTCTCTGTCAATTAATGGTGTCAGTAGCACAGTAAGAGATGAACTAATCAATGAGGAAAAAAATGGCCAATTGTTAGAAAACACTAACTTGGGAACAAGGACAGGCTCTGAAACTGAAGCTAATGAAGAACAGTTTAGTAAGAAAACATGTTTTTACTGGCAAAGGGATGATGTCAATGAAAATGTTGCAGTAGAGGTGAATCACAAAATGCAGATGAGTAATCAGAAGAAAAGTGACATTGTGATCTTAAAAGTTGTGTACCTTTGTCAACAATGTAAAGACAGTCTGGAAAAGGGACACAATTGAATCTGATAAATAAAATTACCTTAATTGCTTTCAACAAATGCTGAGGACTCTAATGACTGGCAGTGGACCTCAGTTCTTAAGGCATAATGAATTTTCTAAGATCTGGGCTTCCTACCACCAGAACATCCTCCAAATAAAAGGTTTGGAAAGAAAGCCATTCTGGCAGTGAAAAGTCTCTTGAAGGCAGCCAAGCAGAAATGTTAAATTCTGTATCTATATAGATACATCTAAGATGTATGTCTAATGGGCTTCAGCAGGTACATGAGAAGAAGGGATGGCAGAGACAGAAGAAGGAGGATTTTGTTCAAAGACACCAATTGTTCTATAACAGAAAAAAAATCAGCATCATAATGTGTCTGTCCTGATGCAACTGTCTGGTCTTATTAGTCAAACCTAAAAGAATTTTGACTGTGACAGGTATATAAAAACCACTGAAAGTATGCCTGGGCTCCGCGTCTGCCTGAGAGGGAATGAAAATAGCCAGAAGCTTTTACTCCTGCAAAATAACTATTATCGCTATTTGTGTTATATTACTAGGTGTTCTTAGCCAAATCAGATATGGTCATAGCTGGATTTCTCAAGACCTACTCAGTGGTACAATAGAATTTGTAAAAATGCCAGAAGAATCATTTTGCATGCTGGCATCGCAGATGTCACCAAGTGCAAAGTCATTTTGGACGCTAGCTTAGTCAAAAATCCCATTGAATTAATCTGTAACAAAACACTAAATCTGCAGTAACTCATATTAGCAGCTACATGAGGAGGAGAGGAGACAAAATTATATAGGGCAGAAATCAAATTATAAACGTTGAATGCCTCTTTCTTTCCAGGTCAGTTTAGTGAGGTTATTGTCAAGAAATGAGAGTAGTCTGGCAGGAGAAGGAGTTAGTGTCATGTACATGTTTATGGTACTGAATTATGCATTGGGAAATCTGCCTGCTCTCAAGCAGACTGTGTGCTCCCAAGCCGTAATTGCTCGCTGTGTCCCGTGTCCAAGTCCCTTGGTGTGACCCTGCTGTCACCTCTCTCGCTGACAGGACCCTCCAGCAGCACAGCATGGGTGTCAATGCCCTCGGCATCCCATCCCACTGCTCTCCCTTCTTCTGGCAGTGACCAAACCACTGTGGCACAAAGCCCTCTTAGCTGCTGGTGTCACGCTAAGAACCCGAGCTCCGTGACAACCCACGTAACGGTTCTTCCACTCAGTGTCCAAGGATTGTGTTCATGCCCTTCTTCCTCTGGATCCAAGCAGCTCAGGATACCACAAAACCACTTTGCATTCTTCCCTCTTGCGTTTTCTGCTGCTCAGGTGCAGGTTAGGGCTGGAATTCAGGGGCTCTGAAAAGCTAAGCCAGCTCAGGTTGAGCAGTTTGGTGTGCCTGCTCTCCAAACAACCTGACTAGTGAAGGCTTTCTGATGGCTACAGAAATGGCTCACCCAGGCATAAAGCAGAAGAGGATGAGCTCCTGTTTCATATCAGCCAAATGCAAGAGGCTTGGCAGATCCAAACCCAGCAGATCCCATCACATCTCATCAGTATGGATCACCCTTGACACAGGGTCAGGAGGAGGATGCGTGATGTTCTAATGTTCTGGACACATTCAGGGAATCCAAAAGCTTCAAAAAGCAGAGTAATCCTTTCTCTCACAGTGAGATTTCCCCTGTCTTCTCTGAAACAATCTCTCACACTCCAGTCTTTGTTCAGAAAGGAAAAAGTAGCTGAGATCTTCATATGTCTTACAAAAGCCAGTGTCCTAGGACAGCAGCTCATATGCAAAATCACTTTGGCCTTCTTCAATGACTGTAAATGACATCATGCAGGATACAGTCAAAAAAGCTTCTGGAACAGGGGAAAGTGGTTTTTTTTCTGGTGGTTTTGGTTTTTTGAGGGTTCTTTTCACTTAATACATCCAGAGTTTGGTTTTTGAATACATAAGAAAAGATACTTTATTTCACTTGTTTGGATTATTTTCTATAGAAAAGTATAGAAAGAAAGCACAATTTGTTATATAATAGAAGTGAGACAGTTGCAACAACAAAGCATGAGCTTTCTCTCCAGAGATAGTGAAGGGCTTTCCAAAAATGGTGAACTAAAAGAAAATAGCTCTGACAGTGTGCTTCTGGTAGCATTGAAGATTATCAAAACAAAAATGAATTAAGTAATTGAATATATTTTTCTCATCAGAAATCAGATTATGTTAATCTAATTTATAAATACATCTTTTGCTCTACACCAGACACAGAGCTGATGCCTGAATTCTGTGAGGTCATGGTTAGTTGAACAAAATGAAGATCCAACTATTATATAGATAGTTAAACTATGCTGGCCAGTATAATTCTTCCTGTCCTCTTCTCTCTTTCTCTCAACCCCAAGTCATTTTCAATTTCAGGTTGCCATGAGTCAGCCGACTGCTGAACTGTTGCATAGCAGACCATTAAAGGAAATGCTTTCAACTAAAAACTCCTTAGTTTTATTTTATTTATGAAATTACACAGTTTTTCCTAACTGCCTTCTGGGGAAGGGGGAGTAAACTATCTCTAAAATTCTCTAGGAATGCTAAAATAAACAATTATTGGCATGACTCAGCAGATAACAACAACAATAGCCAAGAAGGTCTTTTCTTAAAGGAATAATATTTTTATTCTCTTGTGAAAAGGCAAAAACAACATCACCAGCAAAGGAAGCAAATCTTTTGCTATCAAACACAGTCCTTTGACTCCCAAAGGTGAAACTTGGTCTTCCTACCAGCATACCCTGCTCCTTGTTGTGCAAGTAAACAACTCCTGGATCTTCCATCAGGCACCTCCAAAGAGGAATGAAACCAGCAGCTGAAGCTTTCTGCTGTGCTTCTTTCCACCAAGGTTCCTAAAAGTGCCCCCCACAATATCAAACAGCATCAGCACATCAAACCACCAGCCTCTGGAGATGTGAGTGGGGAGTGTGGCATGTGTCTTTCAGGCTGTTCCCAGTAGACTCAAATACTTAAGTGAAAATTCCTTGTGTAGAAAGGGATTGTTTTCCCCCCCTAGGTTTACCATGAAAAGAATTTGTATTGTGCTGCAGGCTATTCAGGGAGGGTTGAAGTCTCTTTTTGTGTAAGTACTGTCTATCAAGTGTGAATCGATGTGTTGTGTACTTAGTGTAAAAATGCTTTTCTGACACTCAGATAAATTATGATTGTTGTTTTGACCCTAGTCTTTCATTCGCCTCCACTCAGCTGCTGACTTTTGTGGTTTCTGAGATGAAATGTTGATTTAGGACCAGTGGAATTGACCAATCTCATCTCTTCCTTTCCATCTAATTTTATACTCTTATTCCCTAATAGTCTTATTTGCCACCACTCTGCATTCTTCTTGTGCATTACCAATAAAATGTATTCATTATGTCCTTCTCCCTCCCTTGCTAATGTCTTAGAACAAATTGTACCCTC